TTTGGGAATATGATAATAAGATCCCATATACCCCATATTCTATCTACTTAAGGGGGACTATACGCTTGAGAACTTTTTTCCACGACTAACGGAAAACAACATGCAATCTTCTCTATAACACAGCAGATTCTAGGTGGTTTGCCATTAGCAGTGGTAGTTATGATCCCTAAGCTCTACTAATCTGGGGAGGGTAACACCGGCCTCGACTGGCCTGCGGAGGACCCCGGACGCAGTGCCTGGCTTTCAGGGTTTAGTTTTTAGCGTGGTTGAGCTTTTGTGCGATTCTATTCCTCTTACAAAATACGCTACCCAAGAGGAGGATGTAATCTTGCTCCATACTGGGAGGGCTGTGCCATATCCAAATAGAATGCGGCTCACATGGGATTCGCAAACGTTCGCAAATTCTAGGGGCGCTCAGGGACCCCAGAGGCCTTGCGGGATTATGAGAGGATTCTAGGGGGTCCCTATCAAAGGTTCTCTTTGGAGAAACTGCCACATCATCACGACGGCTCGCCATAGCAAGGCCGGATGAATTTGAGGCTTGCAGGGTTGCGCTAGGTTCCTGGCATAGCGAAAATTTTCTAAGGGCTATAGTCCCTGTGAAGAAGATGGACTATGGGTTTATGGTGATGATTTTATATTTTTGGGAAATCCATGTTCTATCTACTCAAGGGGGACCAGATGCATAAGTTGACCAGGGGTTCATAAACCGTCCATGTTGGAGGTTTAGAGTCTCCATTCCTTGGGCATACTTTTGGGGGACACAATCAAATTTTTCAGAGGGGAGGAAGCTAACTGACTCGCCCCTCTGAGTAACGAGTATCAGTGCAACCCGAATCATAGGAGCACGGTACAAAGTCCAAAGCTTGCAATCGCCTCTGTCTAGTCATGAGCATCCTCACCCCGAATGAAGAGAAGTCCCAACATCATATGAGCTATAGATAGTCTGAACTCCTTAAAGGGGGTTATGTAGGAGATTATATATGGGAGTATTAGGGCTTATTAAGGGGGATACTAGGAGTTTAGGCTATGGCTCATATGGCTAGACTACAACGTCATCAAACAATCCTATCAGGATCTGCAGGTCTTGGAGTTTAGGGTTCAAGCTGTTCAAGTCAAGGCTCCACCAAGCGAGGGGTTACAAAAGTTTAAGGGAGCCATAAAACCCTAAACTTGGGTACTGCCCCCACCCAGTAACAGTCTATATTAGGGGTCCTATCAAGGGCTATATAGAATTATATTATAACTATTATCCAGCTGTTACTGGGTGGGGGCAGTACCCAACCCTAAACCCTAAACCCAACCAGCTCTGTCGAGTTTGGGCAGGTCGGTCCATGCCTCCATCAGGGTTCCCTACATCACCCCAATCAACTTCACTTTGGGTCTTATGAACCCCTTTTTACTACAAAAAGCTGATGTTTAAAAGTGTCCCAAACGGAATTCTAGCGATCACTGTCCATTCTTCCCAGTGCTACCTTTGATCAGCCAGACATGGCGCAGCTCTGAAGTAGCCGTAAAACATTCATACCGGAGAATACGAAGACACGGAAAAGCAGCGGCAAGCTGCTCAGTGGCGTGGTAGTGGCCACCGGAAACCACCTGCAGCGCCTCGCCCACCTCAGCTACGGCCTATCTGGCGGTTTTCAGAAATTGGAGATCACATTTCGGGGGTCCCCACAATATGGACTATAGTATATGGGGGTCCTGGTTAGAGAACTACCAAATGGAGGCTTCCAAAAATTAGGGATTCCTGCTAGTAAGGCCCTAGAACAGAGATATACTGTACTGGAGAGCAATATGTGAGGTCGCAATGTCGAGGGACACTCCCATAATCTGAACATGCAAGGCTTCAGGCACT